GGGCCACAAGGGGCCATGAGGGGCTGTGAGGGGCCACGAGGGGCTGTGAGGGGCCACGAGGGGCTGTGAGATGCCATGAGAGGCCATGAGGGGCTGTGAGGGGCTGTGAGAGTTCATGAGGGGACGTGAGAGGCTGTGAGGGCCTGTGAGGGGCCATGAGAGGCTGTGAGGGCCTGTGAGGGGCCATGAGAGGCTGTGAGGGGCCATGAGAGGTCACGAGGGGCCGTGAGAGGCTGTGAGGGGCTGTGAGAGGCTGTGAGGGGCCATGACGGGCCGTGAGGGGCCACGAGGGGCCGTGAGGCACCGTTGTTGCCTAAAACCAGCTCTTAAAGAAACACAAAGCGATTTGTGGGAGTGTTTCCCGGACAACAAGGAGAATTTTGGAGAGGGACCTTTCCACACCCAGCTATTGATGTGTGCACACATCTCTGCCTGGGTGTGGGTGTGAATTGACTGTGGTGTGAATGTTGTTGTTGTTGTGAATCTCTAATTCAGTCACTGTTAAAATTGTAGCAAATGCTATTGAATTACTTGATAACTGTTCAATTGTTCAATAACTAAATGCTACTAATTTCTTTTGCCCCCTTATCTTTGTGTCCAAATCCTTTATGTCCTGACCTTCTTGCATCCCAAGGCTCTGTGTAAATCATTCCATTTCATAAAAAAAAATATATTTTTTGTGACGTATGTAACAGTTGTTTGGATACGTCTGGAATAAAGACAAGTGCCACAAACATTCAAACACACAAAATACCTTTATTACAGTGAAAATAGTAATAATAATAATAAACTTAGCAAAAAGAATCAAAAGCTAAAAAAGATACAATATAACTACCTTATTGCGTGGCCTTAAAAAACAAATACTACGAACAGCATTTATAACACGATATTAACTAGTAAAAAGGGAATTTAAAGGCATATCAAAAAGGGATCTTAACACAATATTATGGATAACTATTAACATGATATTGGTTAGTAAAAAGGGGAAATTAAAGGGAAAATACTATGAAAAAGTTATTTATGAAAAATATTCAATAGTAAAAGGGGAACTAAAGAGACACTAAAGGGATATTAAAAAGTTTGTTCTCTCGGTTGCTTCCTATCAATAAACTGTGCTTACCCACACAGACAGGCCAGGGCTGCCAGGATCTGCAGCAGCTGGTCGATGCCCATGCTTAGTGGGCGTCCCCACGGAGCAACAGTCTCGAGTGAAGGATGAGCATCACTCACCCCAGCAGTCCTGACACCCCATTTTAGCAGCTCTACATTACACCACATAGGGCCAGTACACAGTATAAGGTGATGCCTGAGTGGCAGCCAAACCCCGCCTGTTCATCACCTGATAGCAACAGTCTGTGCATGCCCTGCTGTAGGGCAAGGGGCGAGCGACCCCTGCCCACATAATCTTCCTCTCACCATCATCTTTCTCACCCCTATGTATGACCTCTCCCATTGTGTTTCAAGGGTAGATGTATCTATCTTGCAATATGTAGCAAAACCAAGGAAGAACTCAGCTCTGATAATAGGGGATATCAGGCTGACTTGCTAAAAAGCACAATGGACCTTACAATTAGCTTGTGCCATGAAATTACATTGTACCATACTCTAGCTGGTTTCACATCCTAATATGATTTTCTTTATCACCCTCTATGCTCCATTGATCATCTAATTTAAAAGTACCCCCTTACACTCAGCTTTTCCCAGGACCTGGAACAGCCCTGTGTGTGCAGGGACACAGGTCAGGGGGTGCCCCCCCAGTAGCCCTCAGCCCCCACAGCAGGTTGGGAGCTCAGGGAGCCACCCTGGACCCCCCTTTCCCACCCTCCTCTGCCCCACAGCTGCTGCAGCACCAGCTGCTGGGTGGGGGAGTCCCCCCATCAGCCCCCCGGGGATGGACAGGGGGGTTGGGCACCTGTGGAGCAAGCACACAAAGGGTTACAGAAGCAGTGGACATTCCCAGTGTGCATCTGACCCCTCCCAGAGCCCCAGGGAACCACTCCAGGGCTCAAGTGTTGGGGGACAGGGGAGACCCATATGGGAACTCCCTGCCCTCTGTCCCCCTGCCCACTGTCCAACACCCCTTTTCTCCCCTCTCCCACCCCTTCCCCATCATCCCCACCGTCCCCAGCTCCCCCCCCAGCTCGGTTTGGGGGTGTTGCTTCCCCCTGCCCTGCTCGGTCTCAGCCCCCTCCTCGATCACTTTGGAGGTCCCAG